CTGTGAGTATCTTGTCAAGAGTTTTAGTCCTGTTGCGCTTTTGCCTGTAAAGGTTATTTGTGTCCCTGTTATCTGTCTCAGTCTAGTTAGTCTCATAGTCCTGTCTTGTTTTGCCCCCTCGTGGGCTTTGTTTTTCCTGTTTTTGTATCAATAAATCCTGTGTTCATTGCATCTGCTGTCTGCGCCTGGGTTCACCTTCCTCCACATAACACCAATAATTCATTTTTAATTTTGTCTTAGTAATGCAAATGGCCCTAAAATGGAAGCCAAATGCATGTAGGTCATACAATATAAGCTTGCTGGTCCACAGATGTAAAGCACAAAGACAGTTCAAAATGACTATTATAGATAATAAGGAAAAGCAAGGGCACATTCTAAATGCAAACAGGTCAAAGTTCTGTAAGAAAACACACATGCAGCCCCTGATTTGGGTCACATAGGCCTACTGTCATTTAAACTTTGAACCTAAACGTAAAGGACTCCTGTTACTTGCGTAAACTTTATAATGCATATTTTAATCTAAATGTTTGATTTGGCAACTTGTCTGTGTCATTAAAAACAGATGGATGTGCTGCTTGGAAAGGCCGGAAAACAACATTGTCTCATACCAGAAGATATTTTAATAAAGAACAAAAACAGTTGTTTTGACTTTCGGTTTTACTGTCACACATTACTTTACTTAAATGTTTAAGAAACATTAAACTCAACATTTGTTGTTTTTGTTTTTGTTGTTGTTGATAGGCTGTTTGTTTTTGTGACACATAAGGAACAAAAATATTTTGAAATATTTGAGTTTGACATGGAAATTTGAGGTTTGTAAACTGGTGTGTTAGTCATGCTTGTATACATTGAGCAGTTTAGAGCTGTGATATAGTTTACATTTGACAATTAACGATATAACAAATCAAGCAGTTGTTTCACTACCACATGATGTGAGAGAATTTAAGGTTTTGCAGACAATTAATTGAAAGTCATGCCATAGCACTCATAATTAATATGCATTGCATGGTCAAAATAATCTTACAAAGAGAGTGTGTCCGAGTCTGTATATAATTCAAAGAATAAGTTTATACATTTCAGATGCATCTCTTACAGTTTTTTAAACGCTTCCACTCTAAAAGTTGTACTTGAGGCCATTCTGTGAAAACATTCACTCATGTATAATCCTCAGACCAAGTCTGCAAAACTGCAAGCACATTATCTGCACTCAGTTTGCAATTGTGACACATTTTTTTTTGCAAAACGCTAAACAGTTCAGACATCATTCAAAACTAACAGCTCTGGTTTCATTTGGGAAACACTGCCATTTAAATGCCACAATCATTTCCCGATTACCAATGATCATGTGTGAGCTGATTTGTTCATTTAGAAATTTAAACTCAATATTTTCAAAGAAATATATAATTTTGACCCTCTTGCATTTCTGTTTTGTGTAAATACCTAATTTGATCACTATAGAAATCAAAACTCAATGTTCTTTTTTTTTTACCCTTGTATTTGTTTAAATTTTATACTGTAAGGGGATTTACAGTCAAAGACCCAGAACCAGAAATTATTAATTAAGACAAGAGTCAGAATTATAATAAATTAAAGAAAAGTTTTACTGAAGATAGTTTGCAGTTTCATCAGCAGAAGTCAGCTTCAAGACTTAATGGAGTTCGTATACGAGGGCGTATGGGCGCCCAGCTTACAGTTACAAAGATCACAGCAGTTATAGGCTTCACCAAGGTCTGAGATACGTCCTTGCTTCAGGTTGAATGGTTCTCATTGGCTAAGAAATAGATAAACATAGTAATTTTCCACACATACAGATAGACTGAAGCATATCTCCATCGATTATGCAGCTGACACTCGGACCCTGAAGTTAGGCACGTGACCTTCCAGGTCGCAGATTTGGGTTGCGGGCGCCAGTCTGTCCAAGTCAAGTTAAGTCACCTTCATTTATATAGCGCTTTTAACAATATAGCTTGTTTCAAAGCAGCTTTACAGTGATACTAGGAAATTAAAGTGACGTTATGGCTTTACAGCAGCTCTAGAATAAAGTTATGTTCAGCTAAAGTTAGTTTTGATTATTTCACTATAGAGTTTGTCGATAACGTTTCACCCATCGAGCTAGCATCTCTCTTTAACCGACAGAGACCCAAAATATTATCATATAACGTATGTGATTGGCCCTCATTCCGCTTTGAGTTGTCCAATGAAATACGATTTTATGGGTTTGGCCCATGAAAACAGACAATCAGAAGCTCCCATTTCCCTTTGATAATTAGCATAGGGTAGTGAATAAAAGCCCCTGTATTCGCACTTTAGAACGCATCAAATACTTAATCAGCTCTGAGCACACAGTATCATGCCTGAACCAGCCAAGTCCGCGCCTAAGAAGGGATCCAAGAAGGCCGTCACCTAGACCGCCGGGAAGGGCGGAAAGAAGCGCAGAAAGTCTAGGAAGGAGAGTTATGCCATCTATGTTTACAAAGTCTTGAAGCAGGTTCATCCTGACACCGGTATCTCCTCCAAGGCGATGGGGATCATGAACTCTTTCGTCAACGACATCTTCGAGCGCATTGCCGGTGAGTCGTCTCGTCTCGCTCACTATAACAAGCGGTCCACCATCACGTCGAGGGAGATCCAGACCGCTGTGCGACTACTGCTGCCCGGCGAGCTGGCCAAACACGCCGTGTCTGAGGGCACGAAGGCCGTCACCAAGTACACCAGCTCCAAATAAAGCACCACCTACTAATCTTAGCTACCCAAAGGCTCTTTTAAGAGCCACCCATCTTCTCGTTTGAAGAGTTTGATGAATGAATTGTTTTATTTATGGCAGTGATGGCCTGTTTCAGCAGTGTGGTTGGGAATAAAAACAAGATTGTTATGAATCAAGTGTTTATTTATATAAAGTAGCCTACTTAAAATGGCAGTTCAGCATTAGGTTTTTTTTTAATGGCTTGTGAAATTCCTGAATTCAATTCTACACACAACCATAAAATGCGCACAAATGCAAAATGTTGCAAAAAGCAAACCTCATTCAAAACTATTTTTACTTCAAAAAATGGTTATTTGTTTAGTAATTACACACAACCTATCAAATGATTAGCCATATAAATTCCAACGGATGTGAGAAATGTAAAACATTGCTATCTTATGTCTTTTGCTTGTTCAGTGTTCAATTTAGGGAAAATCAATCAGTTTGTCACACGCACATGTCCACAAATACACTATACCAGTGGTTCTCAACTCCAGTCCTCGGGACCCGCTGCTCTGCACATTTTGTATAGGCCTACGTCTCTCTTATCTGACACACTTATGCCGCGTTCAAGGCAACCTGTAACCCGTGTTTTTTCAACTCGTAACTGGGAGTACATCGATCTAGTACGAAGTCACGGGTTTGACTGCCGTTCCAGTGCACTTTCACGGGTATAAGGTTGGAAAAACACGGGTTACACGTTGCCTGGAACGATGTACACCCAGTTACGAGTTGGAAAAACACGGGTTACAGGTTGCCTGGAACGCGGCATTAGTTCAGTTCATAGAGTCTATCCTAACGAGCTGAGGATCTGAATCAGGTGTGTTAAATAAGGGAGAAATACACAATATGCAGAGCAGTGGGTCCTGAGGATTGGATTTGAGAACCACTGTTTTAATTAGTGGGACATCAAAAACTTTCTGGGAGGTGGATCCTCAGGAGTCAGGACTGGAGTTGAGAAACACTGCTCTAACAGGTCCAATTTCTAAGGCCCTGTCCACACGGACACGGGTATTTTTATAACCGTGACTTTTTTTTACGCGGTTCGGCCGTTCGTCCACACGAAAACGCACTGAAACCGAACATTTTTGAAAACCCCTGCCAGGGTGAGGATTTTCAGAAACGCCGGTTACAGTGTTGTCGTGTAGACAGTGAAACCGGGGTTTTTGCCTTGCGACGTCAGAGTGTGCGCCGTTATCAGCTGTGTTTGACATCAGATTTGCGCTTCTGATTGGCCAACGTGGCTTTAGGGTTAAGGTTTATATCACCGCCTGCTGGCGTGGCATGCTCTTGACCGCGCTTGATTGCGTGTTTTTACGTTTTCATGTAGACGGAGACCGAGCATGTGTGGACGGGATTTTTTTTTAAAACGCTGTAGGAAAAACTCCGGTTATAAAAATACCCGTGTCCGTGTGGACATGGCCTAAAACACGATTACAAGCCTCAAAAGCTAAACCCAATCTTAAGGGTCTGTTTCCTGACCCTGAACTGTAGGTACAACACCTTCGCTGACTTGAGCTGCAAAGAAGCTCTGGCCGCCCTGTCAAGAAAGCAGCCATGGTTAGCAGAAGAGAATTCTTTTAAAAGTATTTAAAATCGTACCGACCCCAAACTTTTGAACGGTAGTGTACGTATTATCATAAAGGATCCATCAGTTATCTTTGTTATTGCTAAAATCTGGCCAATCACAAAAAAAATGCTTTTTCCACAATAAGAAAATTTAAATTATATCTCAGTATGGGGGTCTTCTAACCTGGCCCTAGCCAGATGAATTTCGCTCCGCCATAGCTTCACTCATCCATCTGGAACCGATCCATTGAAATGGCGTTTCAGAAGGCTGGGCCTTATCAAAAATCCTTGCATATGATTGGATAAGCCACTTGTCTGTCATCTTTATCGACGTGCTATTTCAACCACTCACACCGAAGCCAACCCGTGACGCTGATGAGAGCGATGGGGTGCTGCACTAGTCCCATTTCCTTAACTACCAGAGGAGCCATTTGGTAGATCAAGCTCTTGCCAAATCCGGTCGGGAGAAGGGCGAAAACATCGTTTCCACCAACAAAAGCCTTAAGAGCCGTTCTTTGATGTTCTTTTAATGAAACAATATGAAACAATATTAGGTAGATTGGACAACACGGATGAAATAGCAGCATCAATGTTAACGCTTGCTTCCTCGATGCGAGCCGCCATTGACAAAATAGACAAAAGCGCTCTCTGCGAGATAAAATGGGTGGCTCTTAAAAGAGCCTTTTGGTCTTAATAAAACGTTTATTTGGATTTGGTGGCCTTTTCGGTCTTCTTGGGCAACAACACGGCCTGGATGTTGGGCAGCACGCCGCCCTGAGCGATGGTCACTCTGCCCAGAAGTTTGTTCAACTCCTCGTCATTGCGCACTGCCAGCTGCAGGTGACGGGGAATGATGCGGGTCTTCTTATTGTCTCGAGCGGCGTTTCCAGCCAACTCCAGGATCTCAGCGGTAAGATATTCGAGCACAGCCGCCAGATAAACAGGAGCACCGGCACCGACACGCACTGCGTAGTTGCCTTTACGGAGAAGCCTGTGAACACGGCCGACGGGGAACTGCAATCCTGCCCTGGATGAGCGAGTCTTGGCTTTCGCTCTAGTTTTGCCACCGGTTTTACCTCTACCGCTCATTTTTTCAATTTTGTTAGTACAACCTTCTCAATCGACGTTTATAAAATAATGAATTTCTCGAGCCTGCCAGTGTTGCCAGATCTCGCGAGACAAATAAGCAACCAGGCCCGTGAAAACAAGCCCAAAACAAGCGACTTTTTCTCATAGACAGTAAAAGAGCTTTTTCTACGGAGCCCCCCTAGGTTCCGGGAAGAGAAAAATAAATTTAAACTGTGTACACGGTTTTACAATCCGTGGGGACGGATAGTTTTAAACTGTGGGTACAGATTGTCAATTTACATCCATGTGGACAGATTGTAAACAGAGCAGTTGTGTAAAACTGTGCACAGTACAGTTTATTTTTCTTCAGTAATGAAGCTTGGCTGTCCATCTAGTGAAAAATGTTGGTACTGCGCCCAAATAAAATCTCACTAAAAAGCAAATTTTTTGAGATATCAACCTAAAATTTGGAACACAACTTCTTTAGATTTTTGGCTTACATTTTCTTGCAGTTTTAGAGTAAAATATATTTTGTAATATATATATATATTATAGAAAATATAAATAATTATATTTTTACATTGTTCATTTTCATAAACTCAAACTTGTATAAGTTTTTTTCTGTTTCACTTTCATAATTTCATAATACTTCACTTCAACAATAATATGGCAAATGTCTTCTTTACAATAAGACCAACCATAGGTCTATATTCCAAAGCATTCTTGAATTACAACCATTTAAGTTTGGATAGTGATTTTCATGTCCATCTATGCGAAAAAAGGGGGAGTGACAGTTAAAGGGTTAAACAAATATTAAACTATAATATCTATATTTATAATATCTAAAATATAATTAATATATAAAAACTCTCCTACAGTCCAGTCACCATCAGTCGCGACGGTCGCGACTCGCAGGTATTTTCATTTAAACGTCACTCACTGACGTTTTCCTAAACAGAAAAAAAAACGATAGCCCTGCTCTGCCTCTGATTGGCTAGTACTCGTTGCCATCTGGGTCAGAGCCAATTAGAAGCAGGATGTGGGTGGGAAAAAACTCTACTGTCTCCTGTGTGTATGGGGAAAGGGGAGGGACAGAGGGAACAGGCAAGACAAACTCGTACGTTTAAATAACATATAGAAAATATCTGCTTGACAACGAGCTGGGAACAAGCCCAAATAAGCAACTACACTTTAGAAACAAGCCCAAAAAAACCGCGACCCGCGACTACCAATATTTGTAAGCGACTTTACAGAAAAGCAAGCCCAAAGTCGCTTATAATAAGCGGACTTGGCAACACTGGAGCCTGCCCTCCTCCACATACTATCTCTAAACTAGAGTGGTAGTCGCCCATTGGTTTAAAGTCTACAAATATTCAAACCAATCACTGATCGTCTTAGCAAAGCCCAACCCTCTTTCTGGCGGGAACAGTTATGCACGAGTTATGTCTCACTAAAACAGAAAGGATGAAACCACAAAAAAAAAACATTTTTTTATTTTTAAATTCAAATAAATACAAAAATAGATATTATACGCTGTTCCTACAAAAAGTGCTACACTTTTCACACGGACATTGACCTTCTGATACTGTATTATGTTAACCTCCTATTGTAATATTGGGATCTTTATCACTTGTGTGTGTGTGTGTGTGTGTGTATTCTGTTTGTAGGCTACTATGTTGTTTCAGTTTATTTATTTTTTAAAGCACATTTAAAACAGTCACAAGACTGACCAAAGTGCTGTAATGAGAAAAGTAAACAAATATAAAACAGCAGAGAGTGACAATTAACATTATGTTAAAAGTTTAAGAAAGCAAATGTTGTTTAAGAAGAGTTTTACAAAGTTGTACAACATCCTATTTGGACTGTGAACACTGGCTGAACCCTCATAAGCTTTTTGGCCATTTTGAATAAATTTCTTATGATTAAAAATGGTCTACTTGAGTTTTTCCTAGATGTGGTGACTTATTTGCTCTGATTGCATGGTCGAAAGTAACAGCTATTACTTGTAAAATTAACAGAAATCATTACATGAGATTTGCTCTTTATTTAGAGTTAGTGGTGGCTTTTAAAAGAGCCGTTGAGGAACAAACTGCAAACTTTATTTCTTTTTAGGAGCTGCCTTTTTAGACTTGGCGGCTTTAAGGCCTGTTCGAGAGAGGGTTCAGTGAAAAATCGGCAGCTGGCAGCCTCTATAAAAACCGGAAGTCGGAGGTGCCACTTTTAGCCAGGCAAATAAGTTATTATATCAATATAAATTGTTTGTACTTATTTATATAAAATACTTCTATTTGTAAGTATTTTATATTATTTGATTAAAAAAGGATTATCAAATATAAATCAAGTAACGAAGATCATAGACATAGCCTAATACAAAAAAACAAACAGCTACACTTGAAATTATGAATTTGTATGTGTATAAATATAATTTATGAATGAGTGTACATGTTTGTTAAATAATGAAATCTATTCAGAAAGAAATGCATATGTAATCATATTGTATATTTATTAAATATACCCATTTATTAAACTTAAATAATGAGAACAGGGAAAGGCTAAATTCCTTTCAGGATAAACCTCTGTCCAAATAGGCCCTATCTTTATTAAATTATAAATAGCTAACGTATTTAAAGGTTTTTCATAAAATCAATTGGAGTGTTCAATCCAGGTTTAAAATGTTTGAGCAGTGTGTAGCCTATGATTGTCAACAATCTGGCCAACAAACCTGTTGACGAAACGCGTTCATAACAGCTAGAAACCATGCTAGAAACGAATGCGAGTGAGCAGCAGATAGAGAGCGCTTTATTTCGCGATCAACCTCGTTTTATTGCAGTCGTATAAGGTGAATTCCAAAAGTCATTCTTTTTCTTTGAAGCAACAAAGGCTAAATAATTTGTTATAGTTTTTTTTTTTTTTTTTTTTTTGTTATTGGTGCGGATGACACGCAGCGAATTATAGGATATAAAGCCTATTAAAATTAAATATAATTTATACATTATGACTTTTTACGTGTATAAATATAATTTATGAATGAGTGTAGCCTACATGTTTGTTAAATGATTAAATATATACATACAGAAAGAAATGCCTATGTAATCATATTGTATATTTTTTTTATATATTCTTAATACGTATTAACCCTCTGGGCTTCTTCGTAAATGGGTTACACTTAGCTTCCTCCCGGTCAAAAACGGACGAAGCCTTAAAATTTAACTTTACTTCTTCCCAGGATAACCATTCAAATATATTTTTGTTCTATAATATTTTCTGATTATTATTTAGAATTTTTTGAATTTTTTATGATACTTTGCATTAATTATATAATTTTTCCATTAGAATTAATATACATATTTTTATTTTATATATATATATATTTTTTTTCAATAAATACAACATTTCACATCAAAATAGAGTGTCAGCTTAATAAAAAAAAAATAATTCAAGTAGAAGAGCGCCACCTAGTGGCTTTAAAAATAGTTACATGTGTGCAATGTCCTGTTCAGCCTGTAGGCTGCCTATAGCTTCCTATATAAATACATAGAAAGGCTTTTTGATTCTTTTTGTTGGTTTAGACATGATTTCTCAATCTTATTCGTTTTTTTTTATTTAAATATACATTTAGATATTCTAAAAGACTAATTATTTATTTTTTTAAACAATTTTTTTAAGATAAGTATTAGGTTTTGCGTTATGATTACAATCAAACTATAGCATTTGGTTAGAAAGGGAACACAATGCAAACATTTTTGTTACTCAGTATTTGATCATTCAAATAATTTAACAAAAAAAGGGATGGTTAGTGATAATTCAAAACACTTCATACAGACATTTTGCAATAAATTGGTATTTTTTATTAATTTTAATTCAATAAGTAGTAATAACTTCAGAAGGGAACAGCAATTGTGATGAACGTAAATAAACAAAATAAATAACAGCAAACAATCATTTACTAGGTTAAAAAATAAAATGTTAATAATAATAATAATAACAATAATAAACATTATTTTAACTATATACATACAAACTGTAATTTTTTTTTTTATTGTTGAATATGGAATAGATATCAGGAACTCATTCAAAAATAAAAACAAACAATAATCATCAAACAGTAAATAGATTTTTTTTTAAAGTATGGTAATAATAATAATAATACAGATTATTTGAACTATATACATACAAACTGTCTGCTAATTGTTTCACTTATGACTGCAGATGCAACAGATAGTGACAGTGTGTTTCTTGCAGACTGGAAGTGTGCATTTTTTGCAGAAACTGCTGGTTTTTATATCTTCCGGCCAGCACATTTGGCACCTTTTTCTTTTTTTGGGTTGTTGGAGTACCAGTCTGCACGCACCGGCAGACGAGGGACCAGCTGTAGGTGGACCAGCAGATGAGGCAGACGAGGGACCAGCTGTTGGTGGACCAGCAGACGAGGGACCAGCTGTAGATGGACCGGCAGATGAGGAAGACGAGGGACCAGCTGTAGATGGACCGGCAGATGAGGAAGACGAGGGACCAGCTGTAGGTGGACCGGCAGATGAGGAAGACGAGGGACCAGCTGTAGGTGGACCGGCAGATGAGGAAGACGAGGGACCAGCTTCCTCATCTCTGGAGTCCTTTACCCATTTTAGGAAGCTCACAGAGGCTGGTGTTCGAGGAATGTGTGGACGCCTTTTCATGAATGGGTAGACCAGCGCTTTCCCCAGCTCCTCGAGAAAAAGCCGCCTCCTGTAGCTTTTCAGCTGCCCCCAGGTTGGATTAATCTCCCTCCAGAGAACAAAGGAGTTGTAGGCCGAGACATTGAGGATGTTAAAAAAGATAGCCATGGGCCAGCGAGCTGTTTTTCGGGCACAGGTGTATGTTGCAACAATCTGTGATATCACACAAACATGTACAACATTTTAGTAAAACTATTTTATAATGCAAATTACTTTTTTAGTTTTTTAAGAATACATTTAATTTTTCCCAATACATTTCAAGTTCAATTTATCATTTAGCTTAGAATATAAGTTATTATTGTACAATTATTTTTAGCATTGAACAAAAACCACATACCTTATCTAGATTGTCGACTCCTCCTTTGGTGGCATTGTAATCTAGAATCATTATGGGCTTTCTGTCTTCACGGTCACTCACTGCTGCATCCTTATGCATGGTGCTCATCAGAATCACATTCTTCTTTTTTTGGGGGGAGTACGACACGATGGTGTGTGTCTCAGTGCATCCAAAAAGTGAAGAATGAGGTGGCCTGTTTTGCATCGTCACCAATGCACTTGGGAGCTCTGTTCTGTTTTTTCTTACAGTGCCCAGCATCCTTATTTTTTTTTGCAGGAGCTCTGTACCAAGTGCATAAGACGTGAAAAAATTGTCACACGTGACAACGTGCCCCTTTAGATCGTGTACCATGTCAAGCACCACACGTTTGCCCAGGTTTTGTTCCCGTTGTGCTCCTGCAGGTTTGCCCGTGTAGACCTGCATGTTGTGGCTGTAGCTGGATTTTGCGTCGCAGGCTGCCCAGATTTTCAGGCCATATTTAGCCGGTTTGCTCGGCATATATTGTTTGAAATGGCACCGGCCACGGAATCCAATCAAACGTTCATCCACTGTCACATACATGTCTGGATTATACATCAGGGAAAGCCTTTCTACCCATTTTTCCCACAGTTCACGGATGGGTGCCAGCTTGTCGGTTTCTCTTCTTTGAGATCTTGTGGATTTATCAAAGCGAATTACACCTGACAATTTTATGAAATCTTTGAGAGGCATGGTGGCTCGAAAAATAGCTCTCCCCATCTCCCCATCCCACAGGCTTCGTGTTGATTCGCCATTTGATTTTAGAACACCAGCAAGAATTAGAAGACCCATGAACGCTTCCATTTCAGTCCAGTCAATCTCTTTCCACTGATCCCCATACACTCGTCTCCCCTCCATATTTGTCATGGTAACTAGAATGGTCTGAATAGAGCGTGGGAAATACAGTTCAAAAGTTGACTTGATATCTTCAGCTCTTGAAATCGCATACCTTGTGGGCCCAGGTGTCCTCCTGATGATCTCCTCTGCCCGGGCTCTTCCTGGAGTTTGCAGTGGAGGAGAAGAACTCCAAATTATTTCCCCATTTTTAGATGTGAATGATGGATCACACCGAGGGCCTTCCTCCTCTGAATCATCCTCTGATGGCTGATGATCCTCTATCACCTGAAAATCTGGGTCAACCTCTAAATCATCCTCTGTGCCTGAAGGGGGGGGGGGGCTTTGATCTAACCTGTAGCCACGGTAGCAGGCAGGGGAGAACATGTAATGTTTTGTAAACAAATACTGTGACTGGCCAGGAGAGAGAGAGAGTGTGTGTACAGGGCTCCAGACTAACTTTTCCACTGGTTGCACTGGTGCTACCAACTTTCTCAGTTGGTCGCACCAGCATATGATTTGGTCGCACCTTTTTTTTTTTTTTTTGCTACATGCCATGGGATTAATCAATGCATGCTGATGAAGGTTTTAATGGACCAAGGCTAGCAAAGGCTTTCTGGGTTGCAGCAGAAATACCTGTAATATATTAATTATCATTGCCAAATTTCAGGATTTTCATGGATTTTGGACAGTAATTTTAATCTGTAATTTTAAGCATTTTACATTTGAATTATATACAATCTATCTATTTACATTTGAATCATAATCTATCTATCTATCTATCTGTCTATTATCATCTTTCTATCTTTTAAAAATCATTAAACATTCAAATGTATGCATTACATTTTAAAAGATTAGAGTATTATAATAAACTGATACAGAATTTTCGTTATCAAAGTTTATAGTTGTAACTAAAAGCAGAAATCTCACTCCTTACCTTCTGCATTTTATAAGAATTTCCTTTTCCTCTGTCGAGCGATCATGAGAGTAATCGCTCGACAGAGGAAAATATAACCGCTGAAAAGACGTAGGACTAGGAGGAAGGGGCTCTGTGTTTCGTGAGACCATTTTTATATGCCTTAATTTGTGAATTCGTAATTGGCGCGTTTCACCATCAGTGTGCAATGCGCGTGACGTCTACGTTCGTCAATAAATAAACTGCACGTGTCTTGCGGAAGAACATTGTAGCCGGAACTTCTCTCCCTTAATATCTATGGCGAGTCACGCAGGCACTGGGCTACTCCGCAGCCGAGTCGACCCCGGGATAAAATAGTCCGAATATAAACACTTATTATAGGCGTACCGTAGTGATTCAGAATAAGTCAAAAACACGGTCTGGAAAATGGATTCATGATGTAGCCTACTCGTTCATTTTGAACATAAGTTACGGACTGCAGCAGCTGATACAACGGCGTTCTGTTGCTCAAGCGTCCACTCGCACAAATGCGACCACATAACATTTTAACTCGCACATTCTCAAAAAATGGTCGCATATGCGACCAATTTGGTCGCAGTCTGGAACCCTGGTGTGTGTGTGTGTGTGTGTGTGTGTGTGTGTGTGTGTGTGTGTGTGTCTGTATGTCTGTCTGTGTCTGTAAAAGAGAGGATAATAATCTCTTTTGGATTTTAATTTATTCATGATTTATTGATTTTATTTCAACAAATGCAGTTTCTGTGTCTGTGTGTGTGTGTGTGTGTGTGTAAAAAAAGCAAGATTTTTTTTCATTTATTTATTTTATTTTGCATTTTCTATAAATTTGCTGTTGCAGACTTGCCTTCTCTCTCACTATCTCTCTCTCTCGTTCTCTCTCTCTCTCTCTGTGTGTGTGTGTGTGTGTGCATTTGAGTGAGATGTTTTTTTCATTTATTGATTTTATTTTGCATTTTCAAAAAATTTGCTGTTGTAGTCTTGCCAGTTTATCTGTGTGTGTGTGTGTGTGTGTGTGTGTGTTGCATTTGAGTGACACTCTTTTGTATTTTTTATTTATAAATTTTTGCATATTCTCAAATATATGCAAAAATTGCTGTTGCAGTCTTACCAGTTAATCTCTCTCTCTCTCTCTCTCTCTCTCTCTCTCTCTCTCTCTCTCTCTCTCTCTCTCTCTCTCTCTCTCTCTCTCTCTCTCTCTCTCTCTCACTCTCTCTCTCTCTCTCTCTGTGTGTGTGTGTGTGCATGCGTGTGTGGGTGTGAGTGCGCATTTGAGCAAGATTTTTTTCTCATTTATTGATTTTATTTTTCATATTCTACAAATTTGCTGTTGCAGTCTTGCCAGTTTATCTGTGTCTGTGTATGTGTGTGTGTTTGTGTGCGTGTGTGTGTGTGTGTGTGGGGTGATCTTATTTGCACTCTTGATGTTCTAGAGTGTCACCCCTTCATTGCTGTACACTTTTTTTCGGCACAGTTGCTGATCTGTAGCTTGTACCAGCAAAAGTTTCTCTGAGTTTTCCTATTTTTTCGTATTTCCCATTCATTTCCTATGTCGGTCATTTTTGACCGGGAGGAAGCTAAGTGTGACTCTTTTTTTTACGACCCTTTAACAAATCAAAATCATCTCCTTGATTTTTTGTGTGTGTTCATATAGGTAATACATGAAAAGTCACCAAGTTTCAGCCCGATCCGATCAAGCAAAAAAATTAAACATTTCAAAACGTAACAGTTTTCGGTCATTTTTGACCGAAGAAGCCCAAATATACAACATTTAAACTTAAATAATGAAAGTCCTGTCTAAAAGAAGAAGACAAAAAAGAACTTTGTCCCATCGATTACCTTTATTTAAAATCATATTATGCTATCATTTAAGTTCAGTTTTACATTTGCAGTACTACTTTAATACATTCTGTCTTTGTTTAATGAAGCAGCTGTAACTGTTGAAACATGCTTTGTATATGTTGTTCTGAAATCAGAATGATAGGCCACAATCCTGAACAAGATGGTAAAGTTTGTAGACAAACTTTAAGTTGGCTTGAAAAAGCCTAGCTAGAAAGTTTTAAAATGTTCTTATCGCCGGCGCCACCATTGACCATTGGCCGCTGTCGCTTGACTTCCAGTTACATGTGATTGGTTGCTACTACTTTGGACGATACTGATTGGCTGCCACGAAATGGCAGGTCCATCCTAATATGGCAGGGCTTCCAGCTGTCAACGGCAGCTACTTCCTGCTGCCAGCTGCCGATTTTTTCGCTGAACCCCTACTGGCCTGTTCACACCGGGACGAATTTCGCGCGCGATATTCGCCGACGTTTAACACCTCGTGACTAAACAAAGGGCGCCAATGTGAGTGTGCACACCGACACGAAAAACGCACGCGTAAAAGTCATTTTTTTTTAAACGCCTCGGGTTCGTTTTTTTAGTTTGACGCGCCGCGTCAAAAACTATCCGACCAATGAGATTGGCGCTTTTGCTCACGTGTCTGGAGCTTCTGAAGTAACAGTAAAAGACAACTTGGGGGCACTCAAACACAAAACGGTCTTGCCGAGCACACATACGTAACGGTGAAGAAGATATACGCCAAGTAGCGTCTACACTGCCGGGAAGAAATAAGACAAGGAAGATGCAAGGCAAGATGAATGTAGAGCTGCTGGTCTCGTTGCTGTCGGAACATAAAAACATAAAAATGACCAAACCAAATATTAAAAATACAATATAAAATGATTAAAAAAAATATGGAACAGCAACAACTTAAGATAATAAAATATAAAACTCTGTTGCTGCTGGGAAGTTGGTCATCACGGCATCTGCCAAATAAGAAAAAAATAATTTGCACAAGAATAGCATTGTTGACAGTTTAACCTCAAGTGTGCATGGACTAATACATTCACCTGTACTGTTTTTTTTGTGTGTGTATGTGTTCTGTTTAGGTTTTGATGCACATTTGAGCTATTTGCATTATTGATATACTGCCGGATACATTTTAGAATTGCTAATTTTATATAGCCAATCATTTGTATATTTATGCTGTATTAATAAATTAATTTGAAAGTTTCAAACTTCAATGAATGAATGAAGGCATTTAGAATGAAACTTCAATTTATTGTGCTTGTACAATGACAAATATTATTCTACTCTATTAGTGTGACGTAGAGGTGGAGACGGTCGAATCTATTTGCAGATATTTATTAAAGGTGATGACAAACTGAGAACAAGCCAACAGAAACACAAAAGTAGTCAAGGGAATTCCAGAATCGAAGTCAAACTTGCAAAGGTCAGAGGCAGGCGGCAAAGGTTCACACAACGAATTCAGAGTCCAAGTTCAAACACAAAAGATCAAGTCCAAGCACAGAGAAACACAAGATACAAACTGAGACAGGGTTTGGGTAAAACAATACTTCACAAATGGGCATAGAACAGAACAGTCCAGATAAAGGGTGGCTGAGGGTGCACAGGTGAGACTGATGAAGGCATGATGAGGTGATTAGGGAAATGAAGTCCTAGTATGCAGGAGAGAGGGATCTAGTGAAACCAGGAGGAGGCGTTGTCGTGCGTTCCGTGACAGAGCCCCCCCCCCCCCCTGCGAGCGGCTCCGGAAGCGAGGACCTGGTCGACGACGGGGTCGTCCACGGGGTCTTGGAGCAGGTAGGTCTGGGTGGTCCCGGTGGAATGCAGCAGTTAATGTGGGATCCAATATGTCCTGAGACTTGACCCAGGAGCGTTCCTCAGGACCGTACCCCTCCCAGTCAATGAGATATTGTAGAACCCCGCCGTGACGTCTGGAGCTCAGGATCTCTCGCACCCGGAAAGCCTCCGCACCGTCCACTTCAATGGGGGGAGCCTGAACAGCAGCGACCTCCTCCCGGTTCCTCTCACTCCTGGGGGCAATAGCGGGTCTGAAAAGGGACACATGAAAGGTGGGTGAGATCTTGTACTGAGCAGGGAGACAAACGAAAAGAAACAGGAGTTATCTGGCGGAGTATTTTGAATGGTCCAATGAAACGAGGAGAGAGCTTCTTGCATGGGAGCTTGAGACGAAGATCTCGAGCGGAAAGCCACACCCACTGGCCAGGTCGGTATCTGGGACCCTCACGCCTCCTTCGATCCGCCTGATGCTGATAACGGCGAACGGCGCGCTGCAGCTGGACGTGAGCAGCATCCCAGGTGGCCTCGCTACGCCGGAGCCAGGCATCTACCGCTGGGAGGTCGGAAGGTTCCCCGGCCCACGGGAAGAGGGGAGGCTGAAAACCTAGAACACATCGAAAGGGTGTTAAACCAGTGGCAGGCTTTATCAGAGAATTCTGGGCATACTCCGCCCAGGCCAGAAAACGACTCCAATCCCGTTGATTCTGGTGGCAGTAAGTTCTCAGGAAACGAATTAGGTCCTGGTTAAGACGTTCAACCTGGCCGTTGGCCTGAGGATGGTAACCAGAGGTTAAGCTGACATTGATGTTTAACT